AAAGGTAATTCTTACTAGAATCTTGGTATAGTTTCTTTGTTAAACTGTAAGCAGCTTACACATTAAGACCAGAGCCTATCTAAATTTGGTAGCTTTGAAACATTTAGAGGATTCATCATCTAGCAGTACTCAGTGTCTAGGGCTCAGGTACCATATATGTGGGTCATTATGAATGTTGTAAGAGACACAAAAATCAAGAAACAGAGAATTCGAGTGGATAGAAACAAATGAAGCCCTCTTGACAATACCAATAAGCCCAGGAAGTTGAAACTCGCACAGGTGATTCAGGGCACTGCCAACGGTGTTTATTAGAGGTGAAATAATGGTCCATAACACAGTCTGTCTCTAAACTTTCATAGAGACCTATGTATATCACCACCTCTACTATTCACAAACGAATGAGTTGAAGACTATTTTTCTTCCTCTCCATTCCTTAAGACAAAAATACCCCCTCAGACATTAGAATCCCAGAGTATAAAACCCAGATCCTGTACAGACCTAGCATACGGCACTCAATTCACTTTTCTGTAAAGCTAATATCCCATTTCAACTTACCTTGAAGAAGCCAACAAAATATTTATGTGAAGTTATTTTCCTTTAAGACAAACTTACCTGAAGAAATGCAATAACTTGACAAAGCTTAAGTTATCACTTTAATGAAGACTTTGCTAGCTAAAACGCCCACCTGAAATGAATGAGTCATTCAGAACTGAATATCTGTAAACATTCCTAACTTGCTCTTCCGAAGACCTCCTTTCAAACACTCAAGGAAACTGCCTTATGGCTTTGAAATTCAGTATCTTGAAAAGCATGCTGATAATCACACAGAAAGGTCACATATGCCTAATGGTGATGACGTCGATATTCCTCATTCTTTTGATCAGCAAATTACTTCAAAATATCTTCTGGGGCAAAAACATTTTGACTTTAAGTATTTTAAAAATTTAGATAAACAATTAAAGAGTCACCACCAGATTCCTCCAAACAGCACGCTTTTTGTAAGCACTCGATGTTTAACTTAAAACACTTTAAAAGGGTATGATGCCATGCAATGAAATGTGCAGCACAGGGAAATCTATAGAGATATAAAGTAGATTAGTGGTTGTTTAGTGATGGGAGGAGGGAGGGATGGGAAATGATAGCTTAAGAGTCTTGTTTTAGAATATAAAAATATTCTAAAATTGACCATGGCAAGGGTTGCACAACTCTGTGAATATACTAAAAACCACTGAATCATATACATATACTTTGGACGGCTGATTTATGCACTTACACATTTAAAATATTTATGAGTAGACGTCAGAAAAAAGAGATCTAGTTAGGCGGACACATATGCAATCCTACATACATATCTATTTATGAACACTGAATCTCATTAATTACTACTTCGTTTAGAGGTTAAACAAAGCTATTGTACACATAGTTAAGAATGTTAAAAATCAATGACTAGAAGCAAAAGACTACTTCATAATTCTTTGTAATCATGATGAGGTGATCCAAATTCATTAGCTTCAATCATGGAAAACTTAATATACTTACCACAGGCTTCAGATCTCTAACACTGGTGTGATCTTCATTATCAAGAACAAGAATAAGATTTGGAGGAACATCCTCATACATGGCACAGTCTGTCCCATAAGTTCAAGGAATTGCTCTAAATTTGGAATTTTCACGTCCTACATTCCCCTGGAGGTGCCAAGGCCACAGCGGGCCCCAGAGAAGAACTTCTCACCTCTGTTTTCCAGGTCTTTCCCTAGACCCGGCCCCTTTCTTGAATCATGTCAGTTTCCAAATTAACCCTGGACCATGCAATCCCTGTCCTGAATTGTACCACATCGCCCCTGACCAATCTCCTCTGATGCCCTAGCAACAAGCTCTCTTCCTCAGCACCAGAGTCCCATCCCTGTCCCTAAGTCAAAATACCCATCGTCTACAAAGGCAAGAACAGAGCAACTGCCATGATCACCACCACAAGGTTCCAAGACAGAAAGAGCCTGCAGTGGGGAAAAGTAAGTGAGAGAACTCCAGAGAGGACAGGCCTCCCAAGGAGTGCAGCGTCCAAATAAATCAGACATCCCTGATTCATCAGACTATCTTGAGTTTCATCTGTCTCATGTGGTTCCTTCTTTTCAAACAGCTCAATTTAGAAGCAGAGATAAACCCTCCATGCCCTGTTACAGAGAAAAACCATTAACCTTTTCTTCCAAAAAACATATTTAAAAAAGAAAAATGCCTCATCCTCTTATGAAAATATTCCTTTGAATATCTTTATCAACTTTTAGCAAACATTCATGGCCAAGATAAAAAGTCTTATTTTTTCTTTAAAAATCAATATTTTTATAAGACTTGACATTTCAGCAACATTAAAGTGCTAAAATAACATGGCTCAATGTTAAGGCCAGATCCTTAAACTATAATGCTCATAAGCTTTGTAATCAATTTTGTAATGAACTGCAAGTCACTGATAAACATTAGTAATCTCTATTTAAACACAAGAAGAATCAAATACTCAAAGACCATTTTATAGAACACCAAGGACCACATTTTAATCTCTTAGACCCTATGAAGCCATGAACCCAGAAACTGTATGATTTTTAATATTTATATATTTCAACTAATTCAATTATATACTTATACAAGGCTTTAAGGAGAAAGAACAGTTGATATCTGCCTAATTTATTCCTAATCCATCCATTACATCCCCAAACTACTTACGCCTCCTCCCCTACAAAAGGAAGACAAATGAAACTATACAACAGGTAGTCCCTTGGAACCCTTCTGATTAATAATAAAATCAGTCTCAAAAGTCAATTTTCAGTCTTGATTACAAAACAGGTAGTAAGGCTCCATTACCAAAAGTTCTTACAAATCTTCACTTTCAAAGGAAACTAAAGAATTCAGAAAAAAAAAGAGACCTCTACTTTATTCTCCCAGCTTTACAGCATGCACAAATAGATTTAAAAAGAAAGAAAGAAAGAAAGAAAGGAATAGTAACTAAGGAAAAATGCTTGAAAACATACTAAAGTTAAAAAGAAAACTCTTTAATTCCCATGTCCTTTCTACAATGTATCTTTTTTTAAATATCTTTTTTGAAATAATTTAACAGAAACATACAAGAAAGTATAAAGAAATGGAACTACAAGGGCAGTTCAGCATTCCAAATGGTTTGAAGTATCTTCCCAAAGCTGTGCAGTCATTACCCCAAACACATTAATAGTCACTTTCCATTTCCTCCAACACTCTCTCCCTTCCCCAGCCCCGGGAACCACCAATCTACTTTACTTCTCTATAGATTTGCCTCTTCTGGATACTTCACATAAATGGAATCATATGAGGCCTTTTGTGAATGGCTTTTTCCACTCCCCCCAGTGTTTTCAAAGTTCATCCAGGTTGTAGAGTGTATCAGTATTTCATTCTTTTTTATGGCCAAATTATATTCCATGTGGAGATAGCACAGTTTACTTATTCAGTCATCAGTTAATGGACCTGTGGATTATTTCTTCTCTGTTGCTATTATGAATAATGCTGCTATGAACATTCGTGTACAAGTTTTTGAACAGACATGTTTTCATTTTTCTTTGTTACATAGTATGTATACCTAGAAGTGGAGTTGCTGGGTCATACTGTAACATACATTTTTTTTGAAGAACTACAAAACTGTTTCCCAAAACAGCTACATCATTTTTCATCCTCATCAATGGATGAGAATTCTGATTTCTCCACATCCTTGCCAACACTGGTTATCTGGCTTTTTTATTAGACCCACCCTAGTTTGTGGCGTGGTAAGTCATCATGGTTGACACTCTCTACTTTAACCTGGAATAAGGACTCAGCTGTTCTTCTAAGCTACACTTTTACATATAAAATGAAACTCAAAATAAAGCCCACATAATCTAACATTCCCTTAATACGTGAAGGTATCACTTCCATATAATACACCATTGTTCTATTCCAAATCCTATCAAGTTACAATAATTTCCAACAACCAGACCTTTCTAAATAAAGTCAAACTAAATAGCCTATACAAGTGTTAATACAGTAATGGAATACTTAAACATATAACTACCACAAAGTTTGCACCAGAACTTTCAAAGAACAACACTGGGGTTTTGTCAATAATCAATCCATGAACTTCACTACACCCAAGCACGGTGTTCTGAGCAGCTCACAGAACAACATCGTCTGAAGCCACTCCCAGATACAAAGTTGTCTAAGCTCCAAAGTTAAATGAAACTTGAAAATGTACTAACACACATGCTAAAGGACTAGCTTTTCACCGCAGAGAGAATTCGAGTTTAGTAGTCAGATGGCCCAGGTTCAATTCGTAGCTCTGCCATTAGGAGCTATATGACCACAGGTATGTTTCAGTGCGCCGATCTGGAAGTAATAATGCCTGCTTCAAGACGTTAGGAAGCCTGAGTAAGCTAGGATAGCTAGGACATTTGACAAAGCTGCCAGTAAAAAGCAGACAGTTAAATGCTAGCTTCTGTCCATCTTTCTGGTAACTCTGGGAAAGTTTCCCAGCAATAAAGACCTCTTGACAAATGTAGTGGGCCATTTAGAAATGAATGTGACTCCTTGTGAATTGTGGGATCCTCTTATAAAGCATATCCCCACAGTATCGTCTGTAAATGGCAGAAGAGAGCTGTCAACTGGCTTAAAAACAAGAATTTGGAAGGGACCCCAAAGATGAAGAGACCTCATTTTTGTAGGTGACTTTAGAATAAAAACTTCCTGGGGACTCACAGACAGGGTGAGCACAGGGGAGGAAGGTGAGGGGCTGTATCCACATGACCCCACGGGAAGCGTGGGGTGAACCGCGGGGCCGGGTCGGGGGAGGGGAGCGGAATTCGCCGGAGGAAGCGGTGGGGCGGGGGGACCGGGGACCGGCTAGGTGCGCTGCCCAGCGCACAGCAGGAAGAGCCGCCCCTTCCCAGCCGCGGCTCCCCTTCCCCAGACTACTCCGCTGCCTCTGGCGCGTCTCAGCCGCCTTCCCCTACCTGATGTGGTTGTCACGGAATTTGTTGAGATGCGGTTGGTTGAGGTAAATGGTGCGGGCGGGTGCGTCCAGCTGGTCTCCAACAGACGTGGCCCGGGACATCTCATCCTCTGCCTTCTTGTAGCCCGAAGAAGAACGAACGGGTCCTGCAGAGACACGGCGCGGGGCAGAAAACAAAACACAAAGAAGTCAGGCACCAGGCAGGAGGCGGCGAGCGCGGGCTGCAGGCGGGCGGGGACCAGTCGGCAAAGGATGCTCTGGGCGAGGCGGGCGCCGCCTATGTACCTTGGCTCCCCCTGGAGATGCCGAGGCCACTGCGGCCTCAGCGGCAGGG